CCTTAATTAATCGAGATACGTTTACTTGTTACTGATGTGTACAAATCAATAGCGTTTTATCCTTATATTCATCGCGATCGAGTCTTGGAAAAGTAATAACATACATGGAGCGACTCTCGCCACTGCTTGCCGGCTCGACGTTCGGCGCGCGAGTGATAGCGCGGCGACCTTCGGATACACAATGGCACGCAAACGTCACGCGTCACCGCGCCGAGAAAAAAACTACGAACGTTGAGAATTCGAGCGACGCAAAAACACAATAGATTGTTTTTAACCGACGTGTTTACGGCGCTACGTCAATTCTTGGAATCCGTGCTCGGTTTTCGGCAAAGATATTGCCCTAACTCGCGTTGGTGAAACCGGGCCTTTATCGGCAGTACTTGAAAATGGGTGTAGCGGAATAGTTCCAAAAATGAAAATGGGCGTAAAGCGCTGGAATCAGTCGAGCGAAAACGGTAACAAGCAAAACACCGGCATGGCCGCTCTCAGGGTGGAGTCCCATGGAGCGGAATACGCGGAAGCGGAATCAGCGGATCGCCAATCACAAGACCGTTTCGACAGAATTTTTGAAAGGGCTCTATCAGAATAATCTTGCGATTGGCGATCCGCTGATTCCGCTTCCGCGTATTCCGCTCCATGGGACTCCACTCTCAGGTTTCTCTCTGGTGATAACTAGAGGACCGCGGCGACAGCACCTGCGTAAATATTGCGCTGGTGTGCATGTATATTTTATTTGTATACATTTTTTAATCGTGTCAGCCGCCGCAGCATGACATCCCTTTAAAAGTGACAGGGCTGAGCGTACGTGCGCGAGAATCGAAGTCACGCTCGGAGGGGGAGAAGTTTTACACTCCGCGTGCGTTTTCAAGTATCACGCGTACCCCCGAGTACGTACATACGTTTCTCAATTTCGTAAAAATTTTGGCCGAATATATTTTAACTCTCCTGGCACGATCGGCCCGTTTGAATTCACGAACGCAGCCTCTCGCTTCAATCGCCTTCTGAGCAGTTTCCAAATATTTCCAGGTATTAACACCATGTCAGCGGTGTATCCGGCTTTGCCCAAGCTGGCGGTGAGGGACAGCCTCGACGACGACGATCTCACCGACATCGACGACGAGGTGTTCATCAGGGACGGGAGAAACGGCGGATTGAAATTGGACGATGACGGCGGGGTGAAGCGGCCCCTTATGGCGCCACGTAGAAAATGCAAAAAGTCGTGCAGCTTCCAGAGCCACAAGGTCCCGTACAAGGCGTACCTCGTGCCGCTGTGCTACGGAATTACAGCGCTGATCGTAGTGTTAGGCTTAATCGTACTTTGTATATTTACCGCAAACATATTCCCGATGCCGTTAACTATATTGAAGAGCTGGCTGTCGCACGACCTGAAGGAGCCTGCAAACGAATCCGAGATAATTCCGTGCACCTCGCTGTCGTCCAAGGTTTTATGGAAGAGATCGTTGCCAAAGTTCATACCCGAGGCACCTCTTAGGAGTAACGACGTTGACTCCGACGGAATTGAAGATGTCATTGTGGGATTTAGCACAGGTACAAATCGCCGCGCTTATTCAGACAACGTTTCACGTTATTATTTCAGCGTTCTTCCGTTCTCTTCTTTGTACATCGTTTGCGTATAATTTCCCACGCCGTTGCACACTGTGTCCGCACTGTGATCTGCTGCTTTTATTTGGTTTGCTTCTTTTACAGATTTTGGTTTCGCATTTACATCATGTTTCTTAACGGTCTGAGGTGAATAATTAGTGTTATTTTAACGATTAGATCGTCGGTTGTTAATCGACTCGCTGTTAACGGTCGCTGATTTGCAAATTCAGGTCTGGAGGCGGTGGACACCAAGTACATCTGCACCATATATTTTGGGAAGCAGACGCCATGTCTGGGCGGTGTACTGGCGCTGAACGGTAAAACGGGCGACACCATCTGGACGCATTGGACCGCCCATTCGATATTTTCCGTCGACTGCGGCGCAGACTTGACAGACGACAAGATTAAGGATTGCGTCATATCTGGACGCGGTGGTATACTGCAGGCTATCAACGGCCGCGACGGTTCCACCGTATGGGAGATACCGCCTCAGGACTCGGCTCCGGAGCTGCAAATAATCTTGGACGTCTACGACGCCAGATTTATAGCCGATATGGACGGCGACGGTATTGGCGACGTAATAGCGTCGCACGTCGTCCAAACGGACAGCATCCAAGCGAGCAACATACTCGTGATATCCGGCAGAAGCGGCAATGTCATACGCAACATTGATCTACCGGACACGGAACAGCTGTTCGTGGCGCCGCAAATTATAGTGCATCCTGACGGGGAAAATATATTTGTTCTGGCCACAACCAGTCAGCAAAACGCCGGCGGGTTGTACATAGTGTCCCAAGCTAATATATTTTACGGCGATCTGGTGCGTATCATAAAAAAAAAAATCTGCGTCAACTCACCTCCGCTACGGAAGGATTGTCGCGTTAATCCAACACTTTGCTTCTGTTCCCAGCAATTACGAAAGCTCAATCATAACATCGGCAAAAATGCGCTGTTACCACCGATCCTAATTGACATCACGTCGGATGGAATCGAAGATATTGTCGCCGCTACGTTCAATTCCACGATTATGGCATACAACGGGTCCACGTTTGAGCCCATCTGGAATTACACGGTCCCCAATTCCGAAGTAATTAGCATTCCCATCCCCGGTTATTACAACGATGACGATGTACCGGACTTCATGGTGAAGCACCAGATAGGTACTGGTTTGTCCACGTACTACTACACCGTAGCTACAATCGTGGATGGCCGTAATGGGCAGCCCTTGCTCGAGAAACCGATGGAGGATAGCTTGAGCGGGCAAATGTCCGGTTTGTCGATCACCGTCGACGGCTTCGGCAACGATTGGTTTTTGCATTGGTCCACCGATTGTTTGAACTACGAGGGGGTCAAGGATAAATATCAGTTCTTGAAGGACCAGAATTTCATGTCGCAAACGCGCGCCGACCTCTGCTTCCTGAGATTCAATTCGACGCTCGCCACGAGACTGCTGGCTCTGAGCCAACATGTCGGCCCGCCCGGGCTGTCGTTGTACTTCTCGGAGGACTGGAAGTCGGTGGAATTCAATAATTCAGTCGATTCGCGAAAGGAAGAGGAGAAGTACTCGAACTCGTTGAATTCGCGCTCAAGAATCACGGACACTTACGCAAACATACCGCTCGTGTCCGAGAGATCTCCGGGAGTTCGTAAAAACCACCGGAAAGATAGCGTCTTTAAGCACAAAGATAACATACTCGAGATCGGCAAATACGACTCGGATGCGGTATACGAGAACATCGACGAATTCAAGAGCCACAAGAAACACAATCCCGAGGACACCATAGAGAATCTAGACGTAGATCCATCGTGGAAGCAGGACAGCAAGTGGGTGGATGACGATATGCAGTCGGACAAAGAATACGGCAGTATGTACGAGAGTGATAATGGTAACAACGAAGACGGGCAGCAAAGTGTAGATTATTCCCAGGGTGAAGTACGGGAGCAGAGGAGCGTCACCGTAGACAAGGATTCATATTCAGTGAATATTTCTCACAGAGAGTACAAGGAAACTGGCGATTATCCAACATCTGAATCGACGCAACGTAACTTGGATCGTGAAGATATTAACACGGAAAATAATAGAGGAATGAAGGAAATGAATGACAGGCAGAATGATTCGGTGAACACAGCTGATACAATGAATACATCAGGGACGCCGATTTTCAAATCTGAGGAAGAGTCGTCAACCATGTCGAGCGATAAATCAAATATGGAAAGGACTACTGCTATACAGGGTGCATTTAATACAAGCGAACTAGTAGAAATAACGAGCGCGAATACTAGTACGGAAATGCTGCAAGACACACACACTGAAGCATCAAGTGGCGTTAAAAATCAAATAATCACCGGTCATCAAGACGAAACTTCCACTACTAAGAAAGTCGTAGACACGACGCAGCGAAGACAGATTTATAAGCATAGTTTTCCCAGCATTGTTCAAGACGCGGACGATGATGCTAGCATAGAAAAAGTATTTAAACGAGAGTCGCTGAAAAATCAAAGTAAAGGCAAGTTTAACAAAAAGCAACTACAAATATTGTCGTCGGTGAATGATAAAGATTTTAAGACAAGGCAGAAACGAAGAACGAAACGAAGCTCTGCAGCTGACGACGGTCGGTCGAATGGTATCAAGGGCATTCAGAAGCAGGCGCCAACCGGTATTCTGTTGCCGTCCCTCACCGAGTCCAAGGGAAAGACCGCGATAGATTTAGTGTTTTCTACGTTCTGGCTACCGTCGTCCGAAGTGTCTCTGATCTTGTCTCAAGCGGATCAGTGCATTCGTAAAAAGAAAGCGTTGCTGGAGAATAAATTTGAGTACAAGAAAGACGACGACATCATCGACGAATGTTTATCCGAGCGAGGCATCAATTACAGATTGTATCAAGAGTCGCGGGACAGGGAAAATGCTAAACTCGCGCTTGGTCAAATGACAATATACAGGATGAAGCTGGAATGCGTGTGTCCGGAGGATATGTTACCTAATCAAACGTGCAGAAATATTTCGTCGCATCAGAGCTGGCCGGAATATCTAGGCTCTTCTGGAAACGGCTATTTTAAGCCATTACGTAGATTAAATGTTTGAAGAAACTGCAAGGTCTCGTCGAATTATATAAATTATTCAGGAAATTTTCAGCTTTCTAATGAAATCGTTAACGATTAACGGAATTAAACAATTGTCAAATAGTCCCGCGCACTATTTGTAAAAGTATACAGTAACAATCGTAATTCTAATCTATTGTTACATAAAAGTAATTTATATTAATATTTATATGCCGTTTTCTTCGCGAAATAAAAAAAGGTGCAAATAATATGCGCATTTGTACATACAAAAGTATTGTTGCTCTCGCAATTTAAATCTTTAGCGTTTAATTTTGACGAGAATTGCTATAATCACATATCTGTTAATCACTTATTGATAATTACGTGTTTTTTCCAGAGTGCAGGAGTAACTGTATGTGCCAAAGGTCATTTCGACGACTCTTTTCATGTACACAAATATATTGAAACTTATGACTTACGATTGCATAGAAATTGTTAATATAATTAACGTTGAAAGTATACGTTATGTCAGTAATAATTTAACTGTAAACGACCCCGCTATATATCTATATGAATTGAAATGTTAATCATATATACATATATATAATATGTTACTACATATTGATAATCAAAGTTTATGTATAATTGTATAGTCCGATACCAACGTATGTTAATTGTATCAGCAGATACAAATAATCTATATAGCAAGACAAGAGATGTAATCCGGTGCTACCGATTTTATGCATTCTTACGTGAATTTCCTATAACTTAAGGAAGAGAAAATTTTTAATTTATTATACAGGTTCGTGAATAATATTGCATTTCTGAAGATTCGTCACTTCCGTTTGCAGAATAACATATGTAAACATTTAATCACTGTTAAGTGTAACGAGTATTCCAAGAGCATGAAATATACATTATTGAACATCTAATGACGTTTATTTTTTCCCGTGCATTTTCGCTGCTATGGTATACCGTTTGATCAATACTCGATTGTTAGACAGTTACGTACGACAGATACTTCTCCTGGCTTTTGCAAGAGTAGGACTAGCTAAACGTTTTTAAGTACAGCAAATAATAAGCTGCAATTAAGTGCAATGCGAATTATGGCGAAAGAAAGCATGAAACGTCGTAAGATACACACGTCACATAAATTTAATGGTTAGACAGTAATTAATAATGTTTTAATGATGCATTAGAGAACTGTACTTACACTGTATGCAGCAGCAACAATTATTTCAGATCGTCCGAGGCCCAGAGAGCTAATCCGTTCGTAAGTGTTCATTGATTAATAGAATATACTTAAGACTTCATCTAGACATGACTCTTCTCTAATCTCTTCTTAACATTTGCATTTTTTTTCAAGAAAACACTTGAACATCCTGAAACTCCAGGTAACGAGAAGTTTCAAGATTGCAGGAATGACCTTTCAAAAAGATATAAGTTACGGAGTCACTCTTTAAATCTTGGGTGAGTCTTTGCTCGCAGTTTTTATTCCAAGGACTTTTCTTATTTATCAAGTCCTCAAATCATAATTCAAGATATTATTTCTTTCGTACGAAGATTAAGAACATTGAAATTCTTTGATTTTCAGAAGAATGGCTGTGCAAGGTAAAACGATCGAAATTATTGGCGGAGATGCGTACCGGCATTTTCGAAAGGCAATGGTGCCTTTTGCTACTGTACCAAAGATACAGACCGCAGACATCCCGCGCTGTTTAGAGCGCAAGGAATTTCTAAACGGAATTTCGCAAAGTGCGCAGAGACGATGTTACACCGCATTCTCTAAATTGGAACTGTGCAAAAATGCAGAAACGCAGACGGATTACAGAGAGAGCGAGGCGCAAACCGAGCCTTGGGAGCCGCCGTGTAAAATTGTTACAGGTAACGACAGTTATACTGCATGAGATTCATAGAATTGAATCTATTTAAAAATTAGAATCGTGGGTGACAACCGAGAAGGACAGGAAGCTGGAGATGAAGAAATGAGAATTCTAATAGAGATATCCCGATTTTTCATTTAGGTCACAATCCTGAAGTGCTGACGTTGGCTCATCTAACTTGGGAGCACGGACTACCCGCAGGTGTCCACGAGGTGCACGTTATCAACAGGATGCGGATGAGAAGAGCTTGGGAAGCTGTTCTACCGCCGATGGATACGCCGGGCAACATAAAGATGCGGAATTCGATAATAACGGCGTTGGACGTAGACGAGTGGGCATTTCGGGAGTCGGTGAGTGCTTGAGAACAGAATCTCAGCAAAGAAAAGTTTCACCTACGCATAACATGATATCTACACTTCTTCTCTCTTCTGTGTAATAATTTTACATAGTAGAAATCTCAGTTAACTATAATAATTGTAATACCGGCGTTTCTACTTTCTTTAACCGTGTGATAATTTCAGGAGATTCAATTCATAATGGATTTACGTCTGAACCTGATGAGGGACCTCCTGCAGAATCGTGAGTCAGAGCACGAGAAGAAAATGCAGGGTCGTTTCGGTAGACTCGAGAGCAAACTTAGCAAATGTCGGGACGGTCAAATTAAGACCATCAGGCATAATCTGAAACGAGACTTGCGAAAATTACGTATGAAGCATCGCGACAGGCGACAGCCCCGTAAACCCGACATAATTGAACAGCATATCGACCCAAAATCTGACCTGTACGCACCGCAAATGCGTTTCGGCGAGCATCCCCAAAGGCGGCACGAAACCTTGCAGAAACAACTCTTAAGCGAAAGCCATGTTGAACGTGAGTATATTTGATTAGAATTCATCACCGCCACTCGTGTCATCGCGATTATTATTCAGAGGAAGAAGAAGATACAACACTGAGTTGGTTGCCGAATATCGAGAAACCGAAAGCGATTAAACATGGGCCTAAACCAGTAGACATTTGTGTACGAGAAACCAGATGGACGGAGGAAAAACTAAAGCTGCTTCATTCCGACCTGAAGGCCATTCGAATGAAAGTGAAATCTGTGGACGAGAGTCCAAGATTAGTGAGGCGTGATCACGAACAGCCGGCTCTGCCCGTTACACCGCGCAGATCGGGCACGTGGGACAATAAGCAGAAACAACGTGAGGAGTCTGCTATATTTATTCAGAAGCTTGTCAAAGGCAGAGCGATACAATGTCTGGTAAAGTACAGATCATTCGTCACTCATTTAAAATTGATATACAAAGCAAAATCCCACAAAGTTGTATTTTTATTGCAATAAAAATAGGAGAAAGACAAAATTTTTGATTTTATAGATGCACAAAGGACGGGACAGATGCAGAGAGCTGATCGAAGAATTGGAATCGACTCAATCGCTCGAGCAGGAAGATCAGGAAGATGATGAAAAGACACGTATAATTAACTTGCGACAGCTGCAGAACGATCAGTCAATACAGGAAGATCGTGTGTGCGAGATTCTCGATTCCTTAGAGGGGAAGACAGTCTGTGGGACGTTAGATTTTCTCAGCAAGGTAAGTTTCTGTAATCTTCTATCGGAATAGTTCGCTCGATTATTTCTCTTGTTATTTGCAGGAGCTAGTGAGATTGGAAGACGAACGTAGAGCTCACGCTTTTGCCTTGCTCGCCGAAAGAGAACGATGTATGAGAGAAGCCGCCGAAGCTGGCAGGCGGCAAGCGGAACGTAATCGACGACGAGAATTCGACGAAATGTTCAAGCAAATCGTGAAGGTCCATCAGGACTCTGTAGAAGTTTACTTGGAGGACATTGTGAGGGAAGAAATCGATTGGATGGCCGATAAGGCGGCTAAAGAACATATCTTGGAAGTTTGCGACAAAGTGGATGCTTTATCGAAACATGTTGCAGAAAAGTAAGATGTGCACTGACAAAACCAAGCATAAACAAATTATGTCATCAAAGAGCAACGTATAAAACACCGTGGTATTTTTTCGCAGCGCCGACAAGTTGGCAGATGAGGAATTGGTGGCGGATATGATCTACAATTTTGTCTTACCCGAGGTGGAAAAGCACAACATGAGAGAAAAGATTCGCGATCAACAACAAAGTTATATGCGGGACGCGTATATGTTAATTTACGAGAAAATTTTAGACTTGCCACTCGATGAACAATCACAGGTTACGGATCAAGAGACTTGTGTAAAAAATGAGGCTACACAAGCGAGCCATGTCGTTGAAGATACGGTAAAGATTGACCATTTGCCTATATCGCGTCATTTTCCATGTCAAAATATTCATTAATTTTTCCAGGAACAAGACATCGAGACAAAAGAAATAGAACTTCGCATCCACGAAACGAATACTCAAGATGAAAAGCGAACAGATTCAGAAACGGATTCACAAAGCGATCTTTGAAGAAAGCTGCACAATACGTGTCGCAGAAATCACTACTTTGATCTGAAAATACTATTATATATGTTTTTTATAACAAAAGTAAATCATGGTAATAATATATTGCTGAAAATATAAAAGTTGTCTATCAAACTTCTGAATCGTAATCGGATCTATTGCGCAAATACCAATTGATAAATAAATATATCAACATTGTAGTTTAAACAATACAAACCATTTTGGTTGACCGTTTTTTCTATATTAAATTGACATTACTCTATCCTCTTGTGTAATATGTCTTAATAAATTATTAACAGATAAATTATCTCAGCTCACGTATATTGTATTCCGATAAATATTTTTTATCTTACAGCGAATTCGGTTGCTTGCACTAGTACACACTCGGTGCGCCGCACTAAAGCTTGTCTACAGTCAATTCTTATATTTAAGAATTATTTCAAATACCTCTTCAGAGGCTTCTTAGCCAGTAAAATGATCCGTACAGCATCTGTACAAATCACTTCTTGGGTAAATACTCTTTCAACGTGTATTTAAGACAAAGCTAAATATAAGAATTGTGTATGAACAAGTGTGCACTCAGTGCATACTATTGCAAGCAACCGAATTCGCTATTAGATGTCCTTGTAAAATCGTGAATTATACAAATTGGTGATAAATTGTCAACTTAAATCTTATATCAATCGACGTTTAATAATGATATGAATTACAGTCTTTCAATGATTATATATAACTACATGCAAGTACAACAAAATTCTACACCCATTAAAGAATTTGTGTAACGTAAACAAAACTAATGTCTTTCAGCGTTAAGTTGTTCGTTTTAACGCGTTATTGCAGTTTATTGTCTTTACTTTCAATTTCTTAATAAATGCGCGATAAAATAATCTCTTAACGAATTTTACGTAGCATTTATATCTAAGAAAATACATATGTTTAAATATATATATATACATATATATACTTTAGATAACATTCTCAAGCACTGAAATAAACCCAACTAAATACATTAATATATTGCGTTGAATTTATAAAAATACACAGAATAATGACCTAAAAATACTCATTCTTGTTTAAACTTGCTCAGTTGTTGTTTAGAAAACTTAACTTTTTAAATCAGTTAAAATTTGGATGTACTGAGTGTATGTTACGATCATTATACCTATTCGCTATAACAGCTGAAAAATGTATTATAGAGTATAATATGTATTAAAATGTATTAAAGAGTATAATAATCCTGCAAAATCTTCGAACTAGAACCATTAATGTAAAAAGAGCCGAGTTAGCGCGGACACGGCGGTGGCTCGACGAAGTAACTATCTAATGTGTTCTTAGCAAGTAAGTCCGACATAAATTTCTTAAACTTCATATCCTTCGCGTTGCTCGACGCTTTCCTTTCAACTATGAGTTTGCGTTTCTTGGCCTCCAATTCGTTTGCCTGCTGAACCGTATTGGCATCGGCGTTGATAATGTGCGCCTTCCGCTTGCGACTTTCCAACGAATCGGGATTCTGAGTGCCCTCCCGCGCTCGGCTCACTTCGGTAGTTAAATCGACCATCTTCTGCTCCCACTCCTCGAAATGCTTCCGCATCTCCGCTATCTGCGTGCCCTGATCGTGTATCTTCTTGTCCTGCCTAAGTATCTTGAGAGTTTGCTTCCGTAAAAGATAATCCTGCTTCTGCATCCTGAGCTTCATCCTAACTATCTGACCTTTCACGGATAAGAAGAACAGCTTGTTCTTTTTCGTACGATCGTTAATCTTCTTGAAAGTCTGGTTAAGCTTCTCCGAGCAGGTTACGCTATGATTGTTGCAATGCGGCAGTGCAGTGTTATTTATATTTCTACCGTGGGAGATCATGACGCCACCGGGTAGATCGTACGAGTTCACAGTGCCGACCATGGACGTGCAAATGTTGTGCTTCAGATCCGGCAAGATCTTCTCATCAAAATGCTCCATGGCCATGCTGCTTATGTCCCGCAGCTCTTGAAGTATCTCGTGCGCTCTGGGCGGTGTCTTTGTCTCTCGAATCAGTCGAAGTACGCGAAAAATTTCATCGATCACCTGACACACAGTTGCAAACAAATGTGTTACTCGACAATCCCTAACTTACACGAACGAGAGGTTCATTTCTCGAGGATACATGCGTCAAGTCTTTTAAGTAAGAGATATAGTTGCACGGCAAGCTTATAATAACAATCGGCATTTTTCTCGGCGAGACAAAAGTCGAATTACCTTTCCTGGAATAAAGCAGCACACGTTCAGATCCACATACTTGATAAAAGTCATCGATAACATAGAGATTCTCGTTTCTATCGCCGTCAAGATATCGCAGTGACGTGCGAGAGGGTGGCTCCGTCGCTCCGACTCCCTCCTCGGCAGCTTGCTCTTGACAGTGCGGAGGCATTGCGCGTGATACTTCTCCATGAGATTGAAGCCACGATTGAGCAGCTTCTTGCTGATCCGATCGAACTGTCTGCAAACCTAACGAGCACACCACGAGTTCTACGTGTTACGGCAATACGAATGGAAGGAAGGGGAGAATTCTTGCGGCGCTAAGGGTGAGCTTACGATCCTATATTTAGATATCTCATCGTAGGAGAGGTTAGACAGAATCGCCTCCAGGCAAACGTCGGGGAGATTTATCAGCTGCAGCTGCACATCGTCGCTCGTTTGTCGCGCGGCGGAATCGTACAAGTGTCTCCGTTGTTCGTCAACCATATCTACTGACGTTCCTTTCCATTCCATGTGTAACGCGAGTGACTTCTACCTCTCAGCACCGAAATCCACACTGTACCGTAATTGACACTCTCCTCTTCTTACTTCTTTTTTTTTTTTTGGAACGCTCCGAGGAATCTCAACAGAGTAGACGCCTTCAGCGCCACCTTCAGGCTACACGGCGTGCCTCTTCGACACCCGGTAGGTAAGGCTGCTTTCCTCTTAGGAAACACGCATCGACGTTTTTACGCTTGCAAGTCTTTTCAATGTAGGCTTGTGTGCTCGAAATGATACCAGGACAAGTTGCGGACCGCATAGCGGAACATTTTCATACGTGAAACACTCAGTTCAGAAGTCTGTGTAAAAAAGTAGAGGCCCTCCACCACCCCCGCCGAATTCTTATCGGCGGTCCTCTTTTGTTTGCGATAAAATTGCGTTTTTACAATTCACAACTTATTTGGAAATATCTACAAAAATATAGAAAGAGAGATAAAGTTATATAGTTAAATTAAACACATGATATACAATAAAAATATGTACAATTTTTCATTATGACATAAAATTACATATGAACATGTTACATGTGTTTACAATAATACGTACGTACATACATAGAAAAAGCTCGTATAAACAATAACGTAAACAATTTATGCCGACGTAATTTTGAAATGTATGACGGAAACAGGTGTAGCACGGATACGCACCAAGTGGAGACTTTATCGGCAGAGTCGGAAAATGCGCGGCGAAGTAGTTCCGAAGTTAAGAAACGGTCGCGAGGGGCGCACCAAACAGCACGTAAAACCCACGTAAAGTCGATCACACAATGCCAGGCAACACAGGAACAGGGAATAGAATTTCCGACGCGTTGGATTGGTTGGAAGAAAATTTCCTATTGCCTGTTGCCTGGCATTGTGTGATAGGCTTTAAAACCGTATGAAATAAAGCCCCGGCTCTTCTCAAGTTTCTCTCTGTTTACTAAATTACTACACACGTACAACTGAGCCAAGCGGTCAGTTGTAAAACGTGCTCCGGCCGAGACTGTTTTTTTTTCCGGAACGTTGTTCTGAGATAAAAGCGATTTAATATCGAGAACCGCCCGCGGGTCCTCTCGCGCGTCAACACAGGCGAGAGGATGGGCCCACGCTTTATTTACACGCGTATATGACATCGCGGCGACGAGGGAAACGCGAAGGGTCTCGTCGGAGAAGAGGCGTACCTTCGCGATGGCACTCGCACCGAAGGACATCGTGAAACTGCTGGACCTCCTCAAGGAGGAGAACCTGGACACCAGCTTGGAGAACCTCTGCGCTCAGCTGCATCAGACCTTCTCCAAGGACGAGCGCTTCAAGGTCGGGACGGTGCTCCTGCTGCAGCTGCAGCACGTCGATCTGCTACCCAAGCACGTCCAGCGTGTCATAGCGCTGACGCTGCTGTTCGATCTGTACCGAGGTGAGTCGCTAGCCACCACGCCGTTCGCCTCTGTATTCGTGCAGGTGCTGAAGCAGGAGGACACCAGCAACGGGGGCTCGAAGCCGCCCAGCCACACCGGCCACATACCGTTTATATCCAACTGCGAGAGGAACCTGCTCGTCAATCTGATGGGGTTCAACCAGAAGGACATGATGAAGAAGACGCCGCGCCAGGTCGTGGACGAGTTCTCGTTCGCCGCCGTGCCGTCCATCGATCTGACCAACCTGCAGCTGCAGCTGGCGGAACACCAGTCCGAGCTGCCGTCCGTAAGTAAGTGCGGGAATCCCATAATACTGCCCGACATGGACCATTCGAAGGGGACAGAGTACGACGCGGCGTCTGTGAAAGGTATAATAGAGAGCCTCGCCATCGGCGACCCACCCCTCTGCAGGCAGAGCTGTCGCCCCGAGTTCCTCAGGCTCAGGCCGCCGATCTATCACAGCATCAACGAGATAGCCTGGTTCCACGTGACGGAGCCGACGCAGTTCACCATCGAGTACGACACCAGCATGTGCGTGTCCAACTGCGCCAGCGCGGAGGCGCGCAGGCTCATGGGCAAGGCCTTCAAGAACGTTTTGACGCTGACGCAGCAGCAATATTTGATCAGCGAGCTGAACAAGGACCCGAAGCTCGTTTATCATATCGGACTCACGCCCCCCAAATTGCCGGATCTGGTCGAGAACAATCCTCTGATCGCCATCGAGGTCCTCCTTAAGCTAATGCAATCCAGCCAGATCACGGAATACTTCAGCGTGCTGGTGAACATGGAGATGTCTCTTCACTCCATGGAGGTCGTCAACAGGCTGACCACCACCGTCGACCTGCCGACGGAGTTTGTACACTTGTACATCAGCAATTGCATATCCACCTGCGAGACTATCAAGGACCGTTACATGCAGAACCGACTGGTGCGGCTTGTCTGTGTGTTTCTCCAGTCCCTGATAAGGAACAAGATCATAAACGTCCAGGAACTGTTTATCGAGATCCAAGCGTTCTGCGTTGAATTCAGCCGTATCAGGGAAGCGGCCGCGTTATTTCGGCTTCTCAAACAACTCGAGTCCGGTGATACCGGTGGACTTAACGCTCCACCAGTAAGAAGTAGAACAGATATGTGTTAAAATGCGCCATAATGCCTATAAATACAGACTGGAGTAGCTATATAAAATAAAATATGTATAATTGATTGAGTCGTTAAATTTAGTAAGAAATATGATTGTACGTTTGAGCATCTTAAAGTCGCATTCTCTGTACGGCCAATGGGATGAAAAACGACGATTGTATTGTATTATTAAATTGTTAGCAAAAATTAAATGAAAAACGAGTTCAAATCATGTATTTAAGAAAAAAAAAACTATCTTGTTCAACAAGACACATCAAACGTGTCTTAAAGAGATTCTTGCTCATCAAAATTAATTTTTTAATTTTAACGTACGTAGGAGTGAATATAAATTTATTATATACATATTTGAAACATTGAGAATAATATATTTGCGCAAAGTACTTCTAATCTAAAATCTGACATCGTGCTTTTCTATACTGGTGACGTGGCGTGAAACGTTCTATCGTGTAATAAACAACTGCCTTGCAATATATGTAAATAACGAATTTATAATTGTAAAATTTTTACATATTTGTATGTATTGTACTCCAGATTTCAAGTACAAAAGAAATTAATTATAATAATAAATATCGCAGGTGATTATAATTTCATTTAGTGGTCTAGATGGTCCGATATAGCTAAATGTGTATGTCTATACACGCGCGTGTATGTGTGTGTACACATTTCATGATGTTGATTCGCATAAATTGACAAGCCTTTATTTTAATATTTATACAACCACGGATGCGTTCGGGGCACTCACTATCAGCGCTATGTAGCGCTGAAAGCGTCATTCTATCTTCGTTACTCATACGTCAAAGAAAGATTTCAGCGTTAATAGCGAGCTACGTGAACGTACTTTCACACATCCCATGCTATAAAAGAAAAACCTATGTGTATTGAACAAATTGATTATATGCATAATAAAATATGTATAACGATATGTAGCAAACTTTTTCAATCATAATTACAAGTAGCCTTCATAAGTCTGTTACAGTATCTTTGTATAATCAATAGATATTCATGATCCCAATCAATTTCCGAGCAATATTCTTCAATTGTTTTTATAAACAAAATTATACAAACATAATAATAACATTTATAAATTGAACAACGTACACGACTGACACAATTCTTATAAATTGGCATTTATACCTTATTGCTATTACTCATCTAACAAATAATTTTTGTTTATTATTCAACTCAACTTCGGACTCGCACTGTATATTACAAACACATCCAGAATTAAATATCTTACATCTTGTACATGCAACACAATTATAATACTACAAATTACTAATATAGCATAAATTATAATGCTAAATATAAATTATAATGAATTGACTACTAGCATAACACAATAAAATCGCTATCAAAGTAATTTATGATTTATATTTTGTCTGAAAACTGATGTATATATCCTACCACCGTTAATCGTATGTATACTACATTTATATACATATGTATACAAGTACATATGTATATATTATATACACATATATGCGTATATTTGTATATACATGTGATTATACATATAAATGAAATTCAATATTTATCACCATAATTATACACAATTGATTCATGTAACATATGCATTAAAAATGGACATTGTGCACTTTTCACAGTGTCCCGTATATTAAATCTGCTAATAAAATCATAAGGCAAAAGATGTGCGATTTTAAGAGCTACGAAAATATACTACAAATTTGTCGCGGTGTAATAAACTACACAGCATTCGTGATACGATGCCTAGATGTATACAAAGTAGAAAACCGAAGATCTGTCTAACGCGGAGGTATTCTATTAACGACGTTTGCCCATATCTCAAATATTACTAAATGAATCTTAATAACTAAAATACCGATAAACATCGTTACTGTTATACAGAATACCGATGCAGATGTAGACTATCTGTACGCTGGCATAAAACAAAGTTATTTACATTTGTCCCATAGTTTACAAAATACAATTCCTGCTATGTAAGTTACATTGCATGACGTAATAATCTTCTACTTCTTTTTTACAGCCTTCACCTTCACTACACTCTTCGTGGCTTTTGCTTTAGCTATTGATTTTCCTTTCAGCGGCTTCATTTGCATCTTAACGTCACCCTTGCTCACCTTTTTCGTTTTCACACTCTTGACGCCGCTCTTATTATCTTTTGCTTTGACTTTGGTAATATTTGGCATAATAACACCGGGTCTCACATAGGTAGACCCGGTTGACTTATACTAGGCCGTTACTTTCACTTTCTTTTTTCGCTTTTTCTTCTTCTTGTCGTGGAGCAGTTCTTGTTTCTTCGCTATACAAAAACGACAGTACCAATCCTCGTCTTCAGCTGGCGGAACCTGCATACCAACGCACACCCTGAAATATTAAAAAGGGAATGAGGTTTCCAAGGTTGTGATTTCGACAAATGGCAACGTTATGCGATGTAAATCGCACGTAAAATACAAAGGGTTATTTACCAGTGATACCAAGCGTCACAATCGTCGCAGCCAATCATCGGCGAGCCATCATCCTGGTTGCCGCAGGCGGGACATATCCACACTTGACGACCCCCTCGATCCTGTAACACTCATCTCAAAATAAACAGAACTCGGCGAATTTTATCTAAACCCAACCCATCTCTGACGAAATTTGCTCTGGAGTTTTGGAAAATTGTCTCAACATTAACCAAGACACATTTTGGATTCATCAAATCTATTTTAGCGAAACATGTTGCGGTTCCTCGATAACGTACTGACTCTACAAGGCTTGGCCAGTGGACTTCACGTCATGATATTTCGTCATGCTGTCCATGAATATTCTCTCTTATCGAAAAAGAAATATTGCAATATAACAAAAGTTACCGACATCTCATAGTATTTTTTTGCCAAGGGCTGTAATAATTCCTGAGTCTTAAATGATGCGTGGTATTTACGTATCAATGAATGATTTATGATAACATGAGTCGGAGATGAACTTGTCTCTTCTTTTTTTTTTTAGCATCTTTTAAATCATGTCCTAGCTTTTCATCTAAGTCACTTCTAATTAAAGTAGCTGGCGTGCGCATTATTTCTGTATTTATATTTTTGCAATATACGTATCGTGTTGCAAACTAACGTATTGTAAAGTATGTAAACTAGTTTATCCATAACGGCGCACAGAAAATAATATCTTGCAAAGTTCTTTGAAGGAGGTGTAAAGCGTACTCACCACAGTAGTGGCTGGTGTTGTAGGCAGCACGTTCCTGCCATTTTCTTTGTCTTCCTTAGCATCGTCCTTTTTAGGAACTGGATCTGCTTTCACCTCTGTACCGTTAAAACCGTCGGTTATATTCCTAACGGGTCTCTCATGCTAAATGTTTTTTTTATGCAGCGTGCAAATCTCATGCAACGATGTAATTTTATACTCTTTGGCTACATAACTTCCTTAATGTTTTCTCTGCTGTCTGTTAGTGTATCATGTACTAAACTATATATTAATAATCACAAACCGCAAATATACTCGCTGATTAAATGAAGAGAAATGAATGAGGAGAAATTATTAGTTTATCATTATATCTTGAGCTGAGTGAACTTTTGTAACGAGGTTTAAAAATAAGAGATGTGACATTAGTTACATTAGTAACTAATAAGATGCATGCTCTCTAATGCTACTGAGTTAACGGTCAAGCGGCGAATTCAGAAGTGACACACAAGTCTCAATTGCATCTTGTAACTATTTGTACGTGAAGAATATATATATATATGTATGCGCTAATGTGACTGCACTTGCTAAATAGAGAAGAGAAATTAACGAGAAGCATGGGCATATTATTAACTAACATAAGACAAATATACTGTAAAAGAAATTACTTCCTTCAGCAGGTACAGAAACGTCAAGAATAAATGTATATTAGTAACCGATATTACTTGAACTTTTGAGGTTTTAAGCTGCTGATGAATGAATTGATATATGAAATAAGTGGTACCAAATTTGCGACAATGTAACTGAGCATACATTAACGTTAAGGGCGAAACGGTAATGGCATCCTGCGTTTTAAAGGCATAATTGATACCAATTATGATACATATGTTTAGAGTAATGCCTCTATAAAATTTGCAATATTGCATTTATACTGCCAACAAATATCCGTTCGTTAAATCCGTCAGAATATTACTTGAACGCTATAGTCGCTCAAATTTGTAATAATAAGAAGAGACAAGTATACCATATTGGACGTCGTATGTATGTATATACAATGGATGATAAAATGATGACGATAATGCTTTCTTTCTTTTTGATTATTCGACTAAATTAATTTTCTAAGTTAATTATCTTTTTATGAAAAATTATATTTGCATAAATGCAGCAATTCTACAAATGGCAAACTCAAGATGCAGCTGCTCAGAAAAGATTGTATATTCACAGTGTTATAAAGTATATAATGAATGAAAAACCTGTCGAATTTGTTAATCGATATTCTCTCGAGAGAATATCGTTTCTAAAAATTATTTCTGTACCATAAGATATACGAACTAAATAATCTTCAACTGTCTGGTGAAGATTATTACAATACTTTATATATTGTGACTTAATACTATTTAAAGTCTTCAATTATGAAAATAATGTCTTTTCTGAAAAGCTCTTTGTACAAAATAAGTCTTGCGAGGCAGAATGGTGATAGTAGAATGGCAAAACAAGCGTTTAAGATTCAATTTGTGAAAATTAAAAATGAAGAAATATTTAAGACTCAATGTAAGAAATGGAAATATGAGCACTAAACTTAAAGAAAGTAAGTAAGGTAAAAATTGCAACATAAAATACACAGTAAGTCTAAATATAGCTATAAGAGAGAATGTGTACTACATTCATTAATTGGACAACATAACAATATATCAAAAGAGAGCGTGGTTGAAGGAAAAAAAAAAGGGAAACATGATACCGTCACCACAAGACGTAAATGCAGATAGCATGAATAGGATGATGGAACTTTTGGATAGGTTCGTACTTGAAAAAATATCGATGGGTTGGGTCTGTTTCATTATAGAATAAAATATAAATATTTGCAATAATTTATGGCAAATTCCCCCAAATTGCTTTTGAATATACTCATATATACACATTTAAAAGATTTTACTACAAAAATTTATAAAAGTTTCTCATCTATATGTCTCATTGCATCTATTAACTTATTTGTCATTTATAAAACGAAAATTTTCTTATGATTGCACCAATATTATAGATAAATTATATAGATTCCTTGTACAATTTCAAAATAGCTTAACAGGAGTGCTAACGTTTCTTTCTAATTTTCTTTAAAAGGAAAAAGTATATTAATTTATAAGGCCTATATATTATTTCCTATATAAATAATAAATTTACCAAGGATTTTCTTTGTAGAATATTATTTGTAATTTCCATTCTAAGATTTTAAATCTTGATGTCAATTTTAATAATCCCCAGTATGTAAATATCGTGAAAAATGTACTTACAAAATAATATGGTGGTTGTTGTGGCGGCGCTAGAGGGTTTAGGATTTTAGGAGGATTGTCAAATTGAGGTGTGGGTATTGGCTCACTTTGAGATAGATTTTGGAAGTTAGATTTCTTTGCTCGAGGAACTGATGCAAGTGGCGCGCTAGTAAGATTGGCAGAGAAAGAGTCTGTAGGAAGAGCAGGGCTTCCATCTAATATTCCCTCCTCTGTTTTCTTACTTGCTGACTTTTGCTTTGGCGGTCGTGTTACCAGTGCCGATATTTTTGCCAATTCTGGACTAGGTTCTCGCTTGACCTCTTCATCGGGCTTTTTCACAAGTGGTTTAATAGTGCTGAAAAAAAAGGAGTAACCACACAATGATTTATCACATAATATGACTACTAATACAAAAATCCCTCTCTCTCTCTCTCTCTCTCTCTCTCTCTCTCTCTCTCTCTCTCTCTCTCTCTCTTCGGTAAATCGGTAAATTAAACATGCCAACATAATAAAAATTTACTAATAATAATCTTACATTTTCTTCATAGGTGCATTATCCGGAGTTGCTGGTCTGGGAGAAGCTGTACCTAATTTTAACGTAATTTTTGGGACAGCTTCTGGATTCTTTTCCTCCTTCTATAATAACGCACATATAATAAGTTAATTATTGCTATTTACCATTATCATTAACGAAAGATGTGCAAGTACCATATTCTTCTTATTCTGATCTTTTTCCTTCTTCTTTTCCTTTTTCTCCTTCTTTTCCTTGATCTTTTCCAACTTCTCGCGTTTCTCAACTTTTTCCTTCTTTTCCTTCACTTTCTCGCCTTTATCTTTATGTTTCTCTTTCTTATCCTTCTTCTTCTTCACCTTATCCTTCTTTTCTTTCTTATGTTCTTTAGACTTCTGAAAATGTTATAAACTGCTATAAATATATATGCCGAAACATAATCATTGTACCCTATCTCAATCAATTAGTCTCATACATGCGTGTAGAAACTACCAGATAAATTGATTACGATAGGGCGTAGTAGTTGTATGGCATCAATGATAAATACAAATGAATATATCATCGTGCATTTAGGAGTTATCTTCATCGGGATATTTCTTTAAAAAAAATATATATACATAAATATTTTAATAAAATCTAATCGAAAGATCTAACGAGATACGGTCTCCTATCGAATTTACCACGTCATTCTTCTCTGTTTTTTCAGCTTTAGGATTTTTCGATGGTGGCATTTGCGCAACGGGTACTGTTGGTGTAGGAAGCGTGATTGGTGCGACAGGTGCAGACACTATAGGCGGTGCAACGCCTACAGGCAGTACCCTCTCAGGTACTTTCAAGAAAGGCAATTCTTTGCTTGGCTTAAACATTTTCGTAAGTTTGTTATCCACCTTCTCTTTGTCCGCCTTCTCATTTTCGCCTAGAATCGACGAAGACGTTAACTCGGCCGGTGGGGGGATCAGTGGCCTCTCACGTTCTACAGGTTTAATTTTGGACAGCGGGAAGTCTTCGGGCTTCACGGCTAGGTTGGAAAAACGCGGCGGTAATGGTAAATTGGGCATCGCGGGATGAGGACCTGGTCCGTTTCGTCCGATCGGCAGTGGAAATCGCGGGAATATCGGGGGAATTAAACCGGGCGCCGAAGGAAATGGAGGGAAAAAGGGGAACGGAAGTGACATCGGAAGAACGGGCTCTCGGTGTATTAGTTCGGCCTGCGGCGTTTTCGGCCGATCCGGTATGTCCAATTCTGTCGTATCATTCGTCGAAGGTTTCGTCTGCAAAACAGCAAATCACCAGCAAGATGTATGAATGTTGAAAATTAGAAGCATCGAATTATCGCTCGAAACAAAATCGACTCTGCGATTGATTTAAGAAGTCATCATATATAAAATGCATCCACACGCACGCCACACGCAACTTTTTAAATATTACATATGCGTATTTAAGTAAGCTACGTTCTACAATCTTACCTTCTTCGGGCTAATACATTGTTTCGGATTCTTCAATTTAGGTTCCTTCTTCTTGCCACTCTTCTCCTTCTTCTTCCGCTTCTGCTCCGGTACTGTTGGCACACTCAGTTCGGGAGTCTTCGGCGTGCTGGGCGTACCCGGCGGCGAAATGTCAGCGCCGTCAAATATGTAAACATCCGATGATAAACTCTGCACGTCTGCCAAATCACTGTCCGATTGTATGTGCACGTCCGGTGTGTGCGGCGTCTTCTTCTCCTCGCGTCCTGCCTTCGGTTCCGCGTCATTACGGTGCGCGTGCTTCTCCGCGTTCTCCGCGTTTACGATCAACTCCGGCGAGTTCTCGCGCGAATCAAGAACGTCCTTGTACTTGTGCGGCTCCGCTGCCTCTTTGTCTTTGTCTTTGTCTTTGTCCTTGTCCTTGTCCTTCTCCTCGCGCGGTTTCGATATCTTCTTGAATATGTTCAGCTTTTGTTTATCCGGCTCCGACGGCAACTTGTCAACGGTTTCCTCCTTCTTCTCGACGGCGGGAGGGCCGTCCGTCAAATCTACCACCTTGTCGGTCTTAGCTTTCGGCTGCGTTGTCTTCGACTGCTTCGGACTGCCGGCGGCTGATTTCGGTGATGCGATCTTCGGCGTGGACGGCCTGCTACCCGCGTGTTCTTGTAACGTAGACTGTGCCTTGCCGCCACCAGGCTTTAACGGCTTTAACTTAGCCAGCTCTTTCATGCCAACTAATTTCTTAACTTTACTTTCGTCGATCTTGTCCGGCTTGAACAATTCCTTCGCGCCCTTTTTCTTCTTGTTCTCTTTGTCGAGCTTACGATCCTCAGGTGCTTTCTTCACAACCTTCTTCGGTTTCTTCTCGGTCTTCAGTTCGGGCGGTACCATCGGATAAGAGCTCGGCTGCGGCGAATCCGATCGGACCTGATGCGGCGTTCTCGCTTCAGGCAACTTTCCTTCTCGCGCGGGCGATAAAAAACCAGAGGTGGTCATCATAACGCTGCTTATCTCACGTAACGGTCTACCTTCCTCCAAGACCTTCGCCCGCTTCGCTAAGGGACTTTCGAGAGACACCGGATCGCCCGGTCGTTTAAAAACCACCTGCGGCGACATTCTATGAGGTGACGCGTTATTCGAATTGCCCGACGATGCTCCACTGCTTGATACCAGGTCCCCCGTGCCGTTCATTAAACTTTCATTCTTATCCGATGCATATTCTTCTGCAATCGTTATATGTTAGTGAAATGTAAATTGGCATCATTATCGCGGTTGTCCGATATGGAAAATACGATTTATTACCTTCGTTATCTGGATACATGGCTGGCAAATGTTCATGTACGTGCACTGGTCTCGTGACAACCTCGCGACTACCCTTTTTAAGAAAGTTCAAATGATTCTCACGCTTAACTGGATACTGCGGGACTTGCATAGGACATGGAACGGAATCCACGTTTTTCACGTATTCGGCTAATTCCTGTATGTCAATATTCATATACTGAAACGTCAATCCTAAGTCGTCAAGATTCGGCTCCGTTCTTCCCACTGTAAAAACGTAAGCAATATCTATTGACGTACTTACGTCACAAAACCGTTTAACTTTCTTTCAAGTAGTTTCAAGAACATGGATTTTGACAGCAACGCCAAAATCTTTTATATCGCAAAACGGTACTCTGACAATACGCGGACGCAATTGCTGTCGAGATTAATACAGCGGTCACTCACAAACTTCCGCATACTGGTGTGTGAGTCTCGAGACGCGTAACAGATATTCCTGCATGAGATCCACCAGGAACTCCAATGGCGTGGAATTAATAGAGTGCCATCCTATCGTCTGGCAGATCTGCGCGGCAACTATTTTCAGAACGTTCCGACTGTATTCGGCTGACATTTTTGCCTGCAAATATCATGGAAATGACTTTTTGAATCGTCTTACAATTGCGGGTCGTACGCCACACGAGATAACATAGGCGCAACGAACCAGTTGCATCTACAGCACAGATTTTACCCAGTATGACACACGTGGGTATGCACAAACTGTGCGATAACCGAACATGTTACAGGACAGTTCTTACTAATTTTATACGTCGATGGTGCAAAAGGATTGCAAGCCTGTTATTCTTGGCTCTAGAGGACCAAACTCTGGGTCTGTTCTTTGCAGCTGAACTGACTGCGCCAGTTCAGAGTTTATCTTTCTACCTTCATATTAGAAGGGATGAGATCAACTCTGAACCAATGTAGCTAGTTCAGATATAAGGGACAGACCTAATATAGCGAAGATGCTAAAAGCGAGCGGCTGTGTCTTCTTTTTAAGAGGACAGTTATCCCCGGTCCACAATCTTGCTCTAAGTAAGCTGGGACTGAGCCTCAAGCCGTAAGAAATTAACCGATCACAGGCATTTATTCCCCTCATTCTCACCTGTGATTGTTCAATTTCTTGCGGCTCGCAGCTTACTTAAAGCGAGATTGTGGACCGTGGGTTACCATCAGTCAAAATTTTCAAAGCAACTTACTCGCTAGATCTCTCGGTCGACACTTCATGCGTACACATACATTGTATTTAACTTGTAATAATCGTTGGAGACAAGTTAGACATTTAAACGTGGATGCTGACGTAGAGCGTTTCCACTTATTTCGACTGTTCGCCCGACAATTACGGCGTCCACAGTCACAGGAAATTGTTAGGCGATGAGGTTAAGAAGGTTACTGTTCAAAAATTACTCCGTGAACTGCATACGCCAACTCGACATGTTAATCACATAGTAACCAGTATACAAAACAGAGTAAAACCAATCACCAGTTTACACACCGATTGTTTGATACGCGTATCAAATAGTAAATAACTAGTAAATGGATTCAGCCATTGACCGATCGGCTGAAATGGCACTGTTTGATACGCGTATCAAATAATCCGAGTAAACCGGACTCGTGGTTCATAAAAAAAAGAAAAAAGAGTGAAACCAAAGCAGCGCGAATAGAATATTTAAGTGCGAGCAGTGTTGGTTCGCGCGTCGTGCGAGGGATGGGTTTTTCCTCGCGAATTTCGGGTGTTGAGTGACGTCCACGTTCATGTAACGGTCCGACTGAGAAAGTCGGAAGACTATTGTCGCGTTTACCTGTTCAAATCAGTTAAGTTCGATTAATCAAGCTTAAACGAATCACAAGAGAATCAAGAGATGTGACAAAAACTAACTACCGTTAGACCACTAACAGTTATCGATGCCTCTCACACACACACACACACACGCGCACACACACGCGCACACACACACGCACACACACAGTAGTGTGCAGGCCGGAGCGTCGAGTGAATGAGACGCTGCGAGGATTAGTAGGTACGTTACAAATACAAGAGACTCACCGTCGACGACGCCGCCGCCGCACGGGAACTCAGGGGTCAACGGATCTCCAAGTGTCCCGAGGAGGGATGTTTCTGAGCCGCCACAAGCTCGAGGGGGAGAGAGAGAGAGAGAGAGAGAGCGAGAGAATTGGATCGCGAAGGGGACGTGTCGTTCCCTCACCTGGGGACAGGTAAACGCGACAACGCGGGAGAATATTCTTCCGATCTTCTCGGTCGGGCCGTTACATAGTTGACGCATTGAACGTGGACGTCACTCAACGCCCGAAATTCGCGAGGTAAGACCCGTCCCTCAGACGACGCGCGTCGCAAACGTACCGCGAACCAACACCGCTCTCACAACCGCCATTCCCGTACCCTCCCTCCGCCGACACATTAGAGGGGACTGAGCTAGCATTGCGCGCGACGAGCGGGCGCTACGGAAAGAACATGGCCGCGCGTTCAGAAAACACACCGCTCAGGGAATTATTAAGCCTGATCCACAATGTACTCCTTTTTTTTATTAGAAACATCGTAAGCCTATAGCCTATCACACAATGCCAGGCAACAGGCAATAGAAGTAGGCAATAGAATTTTTAACGCGTTGGATTCGTCGGGAATTTTCTTCCAACCAATCCAACGCGTCAGAAATTCTATTCCCTGTTGCCTGGCATTGTGCGATAGGCTTTAACCACTGGCGATTCACATTCTTTCGTTGCTGATATATAAATTTAAAATTATATATGTATAACTGCAAGATATAAAAATCCGCTGACGAGCTACGTTGTACTCCTTTCGCCAACAGAATTTCACTGATATTATTCGCGGAGAGCGATCGCGGTTTATTCCCGCACTTGTCGCGAACGCGTATCAAGAAAGAACAATACGATTTGCGAAGCGGCGCGGGCATAACCGGTCGACTTGACTGTCGCCGCGTTTCTGATCCAGCGTACGGCGCCGTAAACATCGTAAAAACCGAGCGCGGATTCCGAGAAATGACGTAGCGCCGTAAACACCTCGGCCGAAAACCGAGCGCGGATTCCAATAGATTGTTTTCGACCGAGGTGTTCACGGAGCTACGTCATTTCTCGGAATCCGCGCTCGGTTTTTACAATGTTTACGGCGCCGTACCGTACTTCCGAGAAATGACGTAGCTCCGTGAACACCTCGGTCGA